AAACGGTAACTGTAACGGAATACAGTTACTCATATTTTGTATTTTAAATACGTAACGGCGGTACATGTATTCCGTTACTCCCCAACACTGCTGTTTAGGAAATTAGAAGAAAGCTTCTTTTCTGACAGTGAATGAACAGAGAGACTGCACCAAAGCCCAGTGTGTAGTAAAAAAAAAAAAAACATAAGGACAGCAGCAAGTCAAGAAAAACCTACACTAATAGAGTCAACTATTGTTTAGGTACTTTGCCAATAAACCATAATAAACAAGATTACATCTTTTTTGTTTTATATCATACATTATTACATGTGACATTTGTTACTTCTGTTAAGTGTACAGTAGTAGCACATGTTATAAACCCCGCAAAAAACATGTATTGTGTACTCCGAAATCTTTTACAAACAAGCAACTAATATTTTTGCCTACTCACCTGATAAGAGACCCGTTGGAGCTGCAGCAGGTGTGTGGATGAGTGGAGAGCGCAAGATTGAAATTTAAACAACCCGAGCCACGCCTGCTGCATACTGCACATTCCTGTCTCTTTGGTGTTACGTATATCTTTCATTGTGCTGAGAGTGATTTCATCTCTTCTTGTCACGGTCCCCGTGCCTCACCGGCTGATTCCGTGTTAGGCAACATGTGTTTTGTTCTTGTGCTCTCTCTCTCTCTCTTTCCCCAGCCACAGCGGTGCTCACTGTGGGCCCGCCCCTGGCCCACACACCTGTGCTCATCATCACACCTGGCACTGGTTACTACAATCAGAAGGGCTTTTTAAGATGGCAGACCTACACTACTCATCGCTGGAACGTTGAGTCACCCGCGTTAGTGCTTCAGCAATCGGCCTAAGTCTGTGAGTTTCCTTGTGATCTAGTGCTAATTGGATTTTCTGTGTGTGTGCGTAGATTCCCCCCTGTCCTTGTACCCCCGAGTGAGCGAGAGGAGCGACTGGAGTGGGAAAAGAGTGGGATTGTTGGCTGAAAGAGCAGAGTGTGGTTTTGGACCCTTCCCCCCTGGAGCCCCGGATCCCTTCCCCGAGCACCTTGTATATATATAATCACCCGGTGACACCACTGTAAATAAACGCACTATCAGTTTCTGCAAAGGTCTCCTGGTCTGCGCCTGAGTCCGTTTACAAAACTGTGTCACTTCTTGGTGATCAAACATGTTAGTGAGACAATTGTATTAATGCTTGTGCATGAGTAAAAATACCTTCAATGCCTTGCACATGTTTCAGCAGAAATGAAAATGAAAATGAAAAGTGATGTTTTCTTGTAAATAGTTTGCCTGTCATGTGTTTTTAGGTTTCCAGTTACAATAATATAATGCAGTATCATTAAGGTGTTTTGTTTTTATTATCAAATCATTAAGATAAATTTCTGAAAACGATAAATATAAATAGAGAGAAGAATGGACTGCAAAGTAAATACAGTTCAATCAATGAAAGTCAGTAAAGTCCTCTTTATCACAATTAGCTGATTTCAGGTCTATATATATATATATATATATATATATAAAAAAAATTCCCCACTCGCCCCTGTGGGCGGTCAATCCTTCAAGCTCAGGTCCTCTACCAGACGCCTGGGAGCTTGAGGGCCCTGCGCAGTATCTTAGCTGTTCCCAGGACTGCGCTCTTCTGGACAGAGATCTCAGATGTTGTTCCTGGGATCTGCTGGAGCCAATCGCCTAGCTTGATCAAAAAGGTGAAAGGCTCCATTCATTCGTTAAAGGGAGGACCTCCATGGATTAGATCAGGTGGTCCAAGGATCTGTTGACACTCATCCATACGGAGGTAAGAATTAGGAAGATATGCGTTCAGCAGCACCAACAAAGAGAACAGCTGTGTGTTTTTGGACTCTGGGTTTTGTTTCACATACTCTGAAACACACAGTTTCCAGTAGTTATTACATAAAACTTCTGCTTCCACGATGGATGTAAATGATAAACACTTTATGTTTAGCATAGGATGGCAAAAGCTTTTGCTCTGAACAACCAAAACCTGGCCTCCTGCACAAATCGTGAAATACCGTTTAGTCATTCATTTGGAAAAAGAAAATGAGTTTGATATTCAATCTTACACCTGTCAGAGTGGTGACGTAGAGAGATAAACATTTCATAATAACTTTTAAGTCTGCCTGCTAATTTGTCTGTATGGAAAGGAATTGGTTGGTTGGCTTCTTCTACATAGTAATAAAATACAAGCAAAATAACATAGTATTTTCAAACGGTAGGAAATCAGAAGAAAGCTTCTTTTCCAACAGTGTATGAACAGAGAGAGTTTTCAGAGTAGCATATATAATTAGCAAAACATTTGGCATCAAGTATTTTAAAAACAAACAACATCTGCTTTCTGTGGATGACTGGAGAGCCCAAGAATGGGATTTAAACAACCTGAGCCACACCTGCTGCTTACTGCACATTTCCCGTCTCTTGGGTGTTGAGTTTATGTTCCACTGTTATGTCATTTCTCCTGAGGGATTTAGCATGCTAGTGATAACAACTATATTGCTGTTTGTGCATGAGTGAAAATACCTTCAATGGCTCACACGTTTCAGCAGAACTGAAAATGAAATGAAAAGTCCTGCAGTCCTGTATATGGTCAGCTTCCTGCTCTATGTGTTTAGGTTGCCAGTTAGTATAATATAATGCAGTATCATTATATCATTATATCAGTATCACTATCAACAAGATATTGGTTTTGTTTTTAAATTATTAAGATACAAATCAGATCATTCCTTAAAATGCTAAATATATGAAGAATGAACTGTACAGCAAACCATCAGTTATTAAAGTTCACTCAGTGAATGTCAGTAAGGTCCTCATCAGAAGCTGATTTCTCTTTTTTTTTTTTTAACAACTTTAGTTCATTTAATGGATCAAAATTTCATTTCATTTTATAAAAAGTTTTATAAAAAGTTACAAGTCAAGCATCAAGGGGTAGTTTGAAATTTGAGCCCTCATAATTTCAATAGAGATGTCCACAAGCCATTTTCACAATGTAAAGACAAAATAATTTTATTTCTAAATCTGAGTAGCATGTAAACTTAAAAGAATATATATATATATATATATATATATTATATGTATTATATGTATATAATATTTATCGTATTAGCTCCCCATTTTTTTGTTTTTGTTTGTTTGTTTTAATAAAAGACTATCATTATGTAATCACTGTAACAAAATAAAATGAAATAAAATTAATTTTGATGATATAATTGAATTAAATTAAGTATACCTGTTGTATAAATATGGTTCTACATGGACTTGTCCCACATCTTTTAAATGAATTTATTAATCAATAGATTAATAAACGAGGGAGACCAACTGGACAAACGCCGTTCCTTCGCTTGACCCCAGTTGCTCTCGTCCGCTGCAGCATTAACATTGCATTAACAATATAATCTACAGTATTGACATTGTATTAAGATGGTTATTAAGGAAAGGTCATAAGCCTCGTTCGGCGCGTTGTCCGGGCGATCTATTGTGTAAGTGACTTGGAGCTATAGAAGGTTAAAACTGCATACGCGCTTACAAAACACATATAGTACATATAATCTAGAAACAGGCCTGAGCAAAGGCCTGAAACCATTCAGCAACCCGTGGTGTTTGAGTTTGCTTAGTAACAGGTGACAGAAGATGTGTCAAAAGAAAAGAAGTCATTGGGGATCTTCAGGGCCTGGATTCATCGCCATATGTGGACGAAGATGCCAGTGAGGGGAACTTCGCTGTCTGCATTTATCTCTTAAAATTGACCATTGCCTGTAAAAAATGCAAATAATGTTCTTG